AAGACACGGCACGTCGATGCCACTGCGCATAATACGGTCAAAATTCCCCCAGGCCGCAAATAGAGAGCCCCTGACGTCTCCGCCACCTGGGGCCTGCGCGCGCTCGAGTCTACGCCCGCTGAAGTCTGCGCCGCTGACGTCTGATCCCATCCGAATAGTGCCCCTGCGGTAGTCCGCGGCCCCTGGTGCCCTCGCCCAACGGAGGCCTGCCCCCACCGAAGTTCGCGCCCCATCAAACATGGGCTTACTGACGTCCGCGCCCGCTGACGCCTGCGACCGCCGACGCTGGCGCGCGCCGGCCCTTGCGCTCGCTGGCGTCTGCGCCCAGTGAGGTCTGCGCCCGTTGCAATGTGCGCTCGTTGTCGCCGATGCGCGTGCCCTTGGAAGTCGGCGGCCGCCGAAGCCTGCGCTCGGCGACGCCCAATGGTTTCTGCGCCCGCTGATGTCTGGCCCCGCTGAAGAGTGCGCTAGCTGGGGCCTGCGACTGCTGAAGTCTGCGCCCATGGGCGCTTGCGCCCGCTGGAGTCTGCGCGCGCTGAAGTCTGCGCCCGCTGAAGTTTGTGCCCGCTGGCCTCTGCGACTCTTGACGCGTTCGCCCGCTGAGGTTCGTCCCTTCTGAAGTCCGCGCTCACCAGTGCCTGCGCGCGCTGGAGCCCCACGCTCGCTGAAGTTTTGCGCCGCTCGCTTGAAGCCTGCCCCCGCCCGCCGATGTCTGCGCTCAGCGAGGCCCACGCCCGCTGGTAATGTTGCTTGGATCGACTTGGTCTCGTGCCCTGCGAACAGCTGCTCGCATCTCCGCCCCGCGGGGCGTCGCCCACGCGGCCGTCGACCTCGCCCTCCTCGCCGGCGTCGTCCCATTGTTCCAACCTGGCCCCCGTCGGTTTCTCATTGTTCTTCCCAGCGCTGGCGTCTTTTTCGCTGCCGCGTCATCTTCAGCCACGCGCGACATTCGTCTGCGCCCTCCTGTCACAGTCAAGGAAGGTTGCATCCACAGGTGGCGTTGCGCGGGTAGCGTTTCGACAGGTGGCGCATGCTCGGCGACGGCTCGCCAGTCGCGCGCTGCACGGCTCGCGCGCGCAGGGCGCATGCGCCGCCGCGCTGGCACCCGCTCCGCGATTCCGGCATTGACGCCCGCTCCTGTTTCTGAGTTCGGGTCGCCCCCCCCCACCCCCCTCGTCTTCCTCCAAGGCATTCCGCGCTCTGGGAGCGTCGCTGGCGCATGCTTCGAAGCGGCGCCAGCGCCGGCGAGCCTTTCGCATCGTCGCGAGCCTCTCAGACAGGGGTCGCCCGCCGCGGGTGGCCCGCGGGGCGGAGTGGCAGGGGGCGCGCTGCTGGGCCCGAGATATCCGCGCCGGGGGCGCGGGCGGCGCGGGGGCAGCGGCGACTCGGCCAGCAGGCTCATGTTCCGAGGCAGCGGCAGCGCGGCCCCAGCGAGGATCGGCCAAGCCGCGCGCGCTGCAGGGGCGGTGGCGCGCAGCAAGCAGAGCTCGAGCGCTGGCCGCCCAGGCGGCGCCTGGGCCAATGGGCCTCCAGGCGGCGGCAGCCTCGCCAAGGAGCCCCGGGCGCTCGCCCCAGCTGACGGCCACCCAGGGGGGGAGGGGGGCGCGGGGCGCGGGGGGGCCCGCCAGTCAGGCGGGCCAGCCGCGTCGGACCTCTCCTTCGCGCAGGTGCTCGCCCTCCACAAGGCACCGGGCGTCGGCGCGCCGGCGATCTCCACCGTCGAGCAGGCCATGGCCAAGGCTTGCGAGTCGCGGCCGCCCTCGGCCATCGCTGCTCGCCACAGGGCGGAGAACGCGACTCGCAAGGTGGATCGCCCCCGTCGGCCGCGTCGCGGAGTTCGAGAAGCAGCGGGCCGAGCTCGCCAGGGCCCTGGGGGAGGCAAAGACGCAGCTCGAGGAGGCCCGTGCAGAGCTCGAGCAGCACGCCAAGCTGATCTACAAGGTCAACTTCGCGGACGTCAACGACCCGATCGCCGCGGTGCTGGCGGGCCTCGACCAGGCAGTCGCCAGCTCGGCCGAGGGCCAGGCGGCGCTCGTGTTGTTGCGGCGCCTGCAGCGTGAGGCCCGAGCTGCGGCCCAGGCGCCGCAAGGTGCTGAAGGTGCGACCGCTGGCGGCCCTGGCTCTGGTTCAGGTGAGCAGCCGGATGACGCCCCCATGGACAGGCCTGCCCTGGCTGAAGCTACGACAGCGAGTTCCAGCAGGGGCTCAAAAGGGCGACGGCGGCGGAGAATGCAGAGCAGGAGGTCGCCGAGCATCGAGCCGCGTTCCTAACGATCGACTCTTTTTAGGGCTGCCCCCAGCTGCATGGCCTCGTCCAGGCGGCAGCCAGCCCGCGTCTCGTCCTGCCCCCAGGAGGCGCTGCCCCCCCCCCGCGGGCCCGGGAGGCCAGCGAAGCGGATGGCGGCGCATGGAGTCCGACATCAGGCGCGCGAAGATCGAATTCGGCCACTCGCTCCAGCGGCGCGCCCGAGGCTCCAGAGAAGCCAGTGGCCCTACCACGGACGGAACCCGCGATCGGCTCGGGCTCCTTGGAACCCGAGGCCTGGCGCGAGGTATCCCGCAGGTCGGGCGCGGTGGAGGTGCTGTCGGGGTGGCCGCATGACGGGCGGCCGCGACATCCACGCCAGCTACGACGCGTGCGGGCTCATGCGCAAGGGCTTCCCCAGTCATGCTGACGAAGCAGCGCGTCGATGGATTCGGCGGCTTTCATCCCCATGCGGCGAACCACGTGGCTTCGGCAAGTCGGTCAATATCCACCAGCTCGAGGAGCTGGCGCTTATTTCGCCCAGGTGGCCAGCGACGTGCATTCCACTGGACTGGTGGCAGGAGCAAGCCAGGCTGCCTGGTCGGCCACGTCCTCCTCGACTCCTACTGGGGCTTATCATGGGCTGCCCCAGGTCGATGTGCAATCTCCATGCCCCGGCGCACCTGGTGACGCTTGTGTAGGCCTTTTGGTCGGAACCGCCGATTTCGAAGGACGACGACGACTACAACCACGACAGCGACCACGACAACGACACCGACGAGCTGACGACCCTGCCACAAGCTCGGGGCACGGGGCGGGCGGTGGAGGTAGGAAGAGGAGGCGGAGGAGGAGGAGGGGGAGGAGGAATAAGCACAAACACGTGAGGAGGAGGAGGAGGAGAAGGAGGAGGAGGGGGAGCAGGAACAGGAACAGGAGGAAACGGGGGCGGAAGAGGAGGAGGAGGAGGAGGAAGAGGAGGAGCATGAGCAGGAGGAGGAGGAGCAGGAGGAGGAGGAGGAGGAGGAGCAGGAACCGTAGCCATTTTGGCTCAAGCCCCACGTCCCCCCTCGGGGATCTCGTGGGGTTTGGGCATCCGTACCCATTTGCTCGAAGTGCTTGCGCGCCCTCGGCCGCGCGCACCGCGCACGTGGGATGGGGCTCGGTGTGCGCGAGGCCGCCGTCCTCGTCGAGGCGGCGGTCCGCGCGGCTGCCCTCGCCAAGGCGCCGCCGCGCTCCCTGGCCGCCGTCGCCCGTGCGGCCGTGGCGGCCGCTGCGCTGGGCGCGGTGCCTGGTGAAGCTGGTGGCGCTGGTCGCGATTGTGGACGTGGTGACAGACCTCCTGGCGGTGGCGAGGTGCCCGCGCCCGCGGCTCGTGCCGAGCGGCGCAGGCGCCGCCGCCGTCGCCGTGCCGCGCGGCGCGCGGCTGGCGACGTGCCTGCGGCCCCTGCTGCTGCGGCCCCGGCCGAGCCCCTCATGGAGGTCGACGGCGATGACGTGCTGGACGACGCCTGGGCTGACGTTCTCCCTCGTCGGGTTTCGCGTCGGCTCGGCGGCCCAGCGGCGATCGCGGCCGCGGAGCCAGCTTGTGCGGCCGCTGCGGCGGCGCCGACGGCTGGCGGAGCGACCCCCTCGGCGGATGTTGCTGCTGCTGGTGGTGCGGCGGCGGCGGGTGGTGACGCGGCGCCCGAGGGGTCGGCCTTGGCGCTGCTGGTGGCACCACCCGCGGCTGCCGCTGCCGCCGACAGCGTGGAGCCCGTGCTGGGCGAGTCGGCGGAGCGGGCCGCGCTCATCTCGGCGTGGGTCCGCACGCCTGGGGCGCGCGTGGCTGACTTTCAGCCGCACTACGCCGCCTGGCCGCTCCACCGACTCCGAGCCTGGCTCGTGGAGGCGGTGGACGCGGCCCCCGGCACCGGCGCGGGGCGGGGGAGGCAGCGGAAGGGTCGGCGATGATGCGCCCTCCCGTGGAGGGAGGGCGCCGCCTGCCCCTTCCCCCCCGCTTCGCACATCGCGGACCTCGTCGGCGAGGGGGTCGACCGGTTCGTTTGAGGCCCGTTGGACGGGCCTGGCGGCGTGACAGACTCATGTTGCGCAGGAGGTAGAGCAGGAGCAGGAACAGCAGCAGGAGGAGGAGGAGGCGGAGAAGGAGCAGGCGCAGGAGCAGGAGCAGGAGGAGGAGGAGGAGGGGGAGGAGGTGGACGACAACGAAAAGAGGACGAGGAGTAGGACGAGGACGAAGACGAGGACGAGGAGCAGGACGAGGACGAGGTGGATGAGGAGGAGGCGGATGAGGAGGCAAGATGAGGAGGAGGAGGAGGAGGAGGAGGAGGAAGAACCGGAGGAGGATGAACAGGAGCAGGAGCACGAGGAGAAACAGCAGGAGGAGGGAGAGGACGAGGAGGAAGAGGAGGAGGAGGAGGAGGAGGAGGAGAAGGTGACGGAGGAAGTGGACGAGGTGGAGGAGGAGGAGGAGGAGGAGGAGGAGGAGGAGGAGGGAGGAGGAGGAGGAGGAGGAGGAGGAGGAGGGGGAGGGGGAGGGGGAGGGGAGGAGGACGAGGAGGAGAGGAGGAGGAGGAGGAGGAGGGGAGGGGAGGGGGGGAGGGGGGAGGACGAGGACGGGGACGACGACGAGGGCGAGGACGAGGACGAGGACGAGATCGAGGACGAGGAGGTGGAGGAGGAGGAGGAGGAGGAGGAGGAGGTGGAAGAGGAGGAGAGGGGGAGGAGGAGGAGGAGGAGGAGGAGGAGGAGGAGGAGGAGGTGACGGAGGAAGAGAGGCGAGGTGGAGGAGGAGGAGGAGGAGGAGGAGGAGGAGGAGGAGGAGGAGGAGAAGGAGGAGGAGGGGGAGGGGGAGGGGGAGGGGGAGGGGGAGGAGGACGGGGACGATGACGAGGACGAGGACGAGGACGAGGACGAGATCGAGGACGAGGAGGTGGAGGAGGAGGAGGAGGAGGAGGAAGAGGAAAGCCACGTCTCCTAGGGGGCAGGCGTCTGGGAGGCGACGGGGCGGGGGCCCTGGGGGACCAGAACTTGGGCCGGGGCCATGTCCAGAGCCCGGTCCGAGGGGCCTGGGGCCGTCAGGGCTTGGGCTGGGGCCGGGGGCCGGGACCGGGGCCTGAAGGCTCTTCAACGTTATTTTTCAAGATGGGTGTTGAACCACATGTTCATTCATTGGTAATCTCGCCGCATGATGGTCATCCACCGGTATATTTTGACAGGGAGTGCTGTCATCCATTGGCAGTCCAACAACATCCTCCAGAAAACCAGCATCCACCGGTAATCCAACATCCACCGGTGATCCTGGACGGGGGTCGGGCCGTTTGGGGGGCACAAGTGCTGCAATGATTTTACCAGCGGGCCAGGGTGGGCGATCGTGGGAAAGGGTGCGCGGGGGGAACGATAGGGCCAGGACCCCGCCGTAGGCCGTGCGTAGTCTTGCCAACCGCACTCCAGCGCGTTGGCCACAGTGAATGGTCTTGGCGTCTTGGACAGCATCCACTGGCAAAGTTCACATCCACTGGAAGTCTAGGTACATCCACCAGCAATCGCGTTTAGCAGCGAATGCGTTGTACTTCGTTTAAGTTCACGCACCGGTAAACGACCGACATCCACCGGTAAAGTCAACATCCACCGGTAAACAGGGCAACGCGAGCGCAACGGTAAAAAGTAACGGTGAAGAGCCTCCGGGGGCCGGGGTCAGAGCCGGGACCAAGGCGCCCCCGGGGGAGGGGTCTTGAGTTTCCTTGCTGCCGGCAGGGAGACCACGCCCCCTTTTCTCGGCAACACCCCAACATACTTATACTATATGTGCGTCGCCACCCCAGGGGCGACGCGCGCACCGAGAAATCTTATAATCTATGCCCCCGCCCCCGTCCCCCCAACCGCCCGCCCCCCCCCCCTAGATCGACCCCCGTCCCCCCGTCAGGAAGGGGGCAGCGGGAGGCAATGACCTGAGTTACGACGTTTCTTGAAAGACGTTGTTTCCCTGGTTCGTTTCGAGATTTCCTTGGGGCTGGCGACGACGACTGCAAAGACGACGACGGCGTCTCACAAACGCCAACTGGGTCGGCGGATTCTTCCGTGACCTTTTCCCAACTTAGAGTGGAGGTTGCACCCAATGTCCCGCCCGACCCGTCCACCAGCTCTTCGTCGTCGTCGTCAACGCCGTCGCCGTCGTAGTCGTAGTCGTAGTCGCCTTCGCAGTCGCCTTCGTCGTCGCCGTCGGCGTCGCCGTTGCCGTCGCCGTCGCCGTTGCCGTCGCCGTTGCCGTCGCCGTCGCCGTCGCCGTCGCCGTCGCCGTCGCCCTCGCCGTCGCTGTCACCGTCGCCGTCGCCGTCGCCGTCGCCGTCGCTGTCACCGTCGCCGTCGCCGTCTCCGTTGCCTTCGCCGTCGCCATCGCCGTCGCCGTCGCCGTCGTCGTCGTCGTCGCCGTCACCGTCGCCGTCGTCGTCGTCCTCGCTCCCGACTGTGGGGGGCGCCTTCCCGGGGGGGGGTCCCCCCTTGCCTTTTTCCCCTTTGTCGTCCCCCCCCCTTCCCCCCCCCCCGGTTTCCCGGGGAGGAGGTGGGAATTCTAGCGTGCCCCCTCCCCCCCTTCCCCCTGGTTTCTGGGAGGGTGGGGGGGCGATTTTGTACAGCCAAGCGCCCGTGAATTGCGCTATCTCTTATTTGGGGACCTCTTGGGCCGCCGGAGGATCATTTCTTGGGCGTTCTTGGGGCCACTCTGTTAGCTTTTGCGACGCTCCTGGACCATGGGGGACGAACATGGGCAACCGCCACAATCCTTCAAACATCTCTTTGGGACATCAGTGCTGTTGGCCTTCGGACCGTCCTGGAGGTCCTCTCGGAGGTCTTTTGGGCCGTCCTGGAGGCCTGTTGGGCCACCTGGGGCGATCCCGAGGACATCTGGGGGGCAGCTCGGCCCACATTGGAGACATCGTGGGGCCGTATTGGGTTCTCTTGGGTTCTCTTGGGCCCTATTGGGTTCTCTTGGGTTCTGTTGGGATTACCTGAAGTCCAGCACGCCGAGCACCCTTGGCAAGCCACAGGAGGCGGTGGATCAAAGTCGCCTACACCGAGTCACCGCCGCTCCTTCACTTTAGGAAGCGCCTCTATGTCCGAGCCTCGTGGCCAGAGTTTGACCAAGCTATCCGATCATGTGTTCCCCCGGCCGTTGTGGAAACGTTGCGGGTGGAGCACGTCGGGGAGAAAGAAGAGGAGGAGAGATCTCTTCGGACTTTCCTTGAGGCTCTCTCGAAGGCCTCCGGGGGCCTCTCGGGCCGTCTTGGGCGATTTGGGTGCCATCTTGGGTGCAGCTTGGGCCGTCTTGGAGACAGATTGCAGTCATCTTGGGCTCTCTCGGGGCCACCTTAGATGTCTAGGAGGCCGTCTTCAGCCATCCTGGCCGTCTTGAGCGGAAAGGCTGGTGATTTGGCAAGTTTACACGTTCGTCGCTCAAGAGACGGGGGTCAATGCAAACGGGGTCAGCCAGGGCACGGGATCCTGCTGGATCCTGCGAAGACCCCCTCTGGCAGACCCGGGTCAGCGAGCCGCTCGTGGCCGCGAGGCGGCCGCGCATATTGGTTGACCCAGTTTGCGAAGCCCTGCGTTGCAGTTGTTGTTCCTGCATTGCAGTTGTTTGGTTTCTTGCTGACCCGGGTCTGATTGATCCAGGTTAGCAGATCCTCGACATGTCCATATGGGGCGCCTCGGAGGTCATCTTAGGGTTGTCTGGAGCGGGAAGACCGTTGACTTGGGAAGTTCATGTGTCCGTACGGGGTGGGAAGACCGATGAAGTGAGACGATTCTGCGCATTTCTGTGTGGCTGGTGGGATCGGCCGAAGACCCATTGGGAATTTGTAACTCAGTACAAAGACCAGAAACCTTCATATTAAACAACTGTATGAAGTTCGGCACGCCTTGCACACCTGTGACATGGGGCGGCGGATTTAGTGGCCTTCGGCTCGTCCCGCCGCCGTGCGTTGGTTGTAGGTCGGGGGCCCGGGAGCCCGTCCGGAGCGGTTTTGCTTGTCTTGGGGGCTTCCCAGGGGCTCCTTGGTGGCCTCGTGGGGCCCGGTTTGGGTTTCTTAGGGCTTCTGGCGGGCTCTTCGGGGCGTGCTGGCGGTCTCGACGTATTGGTGGTTTCTTGGGCCGTCTTGGGGCCCGTTGGGGCTGTCTGGGTGCCTTCGTGGAAGCCTCTTGGTCCGTCTTGGGGCGATCTGGAAGGCCTCTTGGGCTGTCTTGGCCGGTCGGGAACCCGAAAGGAAAACAATGTTGGCATCTTTCTAACATCTATGTGGAATCAACGAGTTTGGCGTCTCGGGACCCTCTTGGGGAGCATTAGGGCGTCCTGGGGGCCCCTTGCAATGCTGATCTCGATTTCTCCGATTCGACCTGGTTCGATTTCGATGGATTCCGATTCCGAGTCGACTCGACATCGGATTCCGATTTGGGCTCCGATTTCTTAGTGGAGGCCTACTAGCCGGCCGATGTCTACCGATTCGACGTTTCCCGGCTCGGCTGCCGATTTCCGCCGACCCGATTCCTTTCGATCGCCGATTCGACTTATCAATTCGCTTCTGGGCTCCCCTGCCCTTGGGCCGTCTTGAATATTGAGACATCTTTGGCATACAGTCAACCGGCACAGTAAGAATGGACAGCTTTCCCAAGGATACCTTTGCATCCTTGCCGCATCGGCCCATCCTTGGCCATTTTCGTTGGCCGCGCCCCGCTTGAAAAGCTTCGAAGTGGGCGCCCAAGGCCCTTGCATCCTTATCGCGCATCCTTACTATACTGATTGACTATATTGAGCCATATTTGGCATACCCGAGCGCTCTGGGGCCGACCCGGGGCCCTCCCAGACCGCCCTGGGGGACCCTTCGGGCCGCCCGATGGCCCTCGAGATGTCACGCGGGAGCAAGCGGGAAGCTTTCTAGAACAAATCAGAGTTTGGGATCGGGGCCTTTCACTCCTCCTCCTCCTCCTCCTCCTCCTCCTCCTCCTGCTCCTCCTCCTCCTCCTCCTCATCCTCCTCATCCTCCTCATCCCCCCTCCTCCTCCTCCTCCTCCTCCTCCTCCTCCTCCTCCTCCTCCTGCTCCTCCTCCTCCTCCTCCTCCTCCTCCTCCCTCTTCTCCTCCTCCTCCTTCTTCTCCTCCCCCTCCTCCTCCTCCTCCCCCCTCTCCCCCTCCCCCTCCCTCTCCCCCTTCCCCTCCCGGCACGGGTTCAGACGTTTGGGGGTCGACGTTGTGAAACAAATCACGACGTCGGGGATCTTGGGTCCTCGCTGCCCCGGCTGGCCGCTCCGGCTTGCTCTCTGCGGAACTCTTCCACGTGTGAGCGTTCCCCCTTCCTCCCCTCGCGCGGCCGCCCTCATCTTCTTTCCTTCCTCTTGCACGCCAGGCAATTCGCCTTTCGGTTGCCCCCATTAGCCCCACGCTGGTACGGACGGCCTCTGCCTCGCCGCCGACGGAAAAAAGTGTTCGTTCAGTCGGCCATTTGGCCATCACGGTACGCAGCAGGTCTAAACGGTGCAGGAAGTATGGGTGTTTTTTTTCTCCGCCGGTGTTGTCAGGGATGTGAGCTAATGGCCGATCGCACCAAGAATCGGCCGCAAACATTGTTAAAGCAGAATGCGTCTGAGAGTGTGGAGCGCTCCATCTATTTCGACCGTATAACTAACGTTCGATCGTCAAGCGCATGGCGCGGCGACGATATGATTAGTATGTAAATTAATCGCCGCCCATTCGTGTATTTTTGCGCTGGAGGTTCCGAGAAATACGAGCCTGAGTTCTAAGGGCGCCTCGAGAGATCTCGATTCTGAAAATGGCCTGCCCTTTATCCGTTCGACCGTTTGACATTGTATTGGTTGGTGTCAGACGTTGCGAAAAGGGTCCGCCGCCATAGCACGATTTTGAGTAACCGCCCTCCGTTCGTGCGTTTGGTTTGTTCACAGTTTTTATGAATCAGTTTCTCTCGCACAATTGTGAAGCAAATGCCTTACATCCATGGGGTTTACGGCAATACCAAGGGTCATGATCGCAAGGTTGGACGACGCTCTACATCATGGTGCCTTCTTGTGCAGGGATGGAAATCCAACCGTGGATGCGTCGAATGTTTAATATGGTCAAGCATGTGTGTCTAAGAACGTGAGAATGTCTTAGTCGAGCGCGCGATTTTGAATTCGATCCGCCAGCGATTGTGCAACGGTTGGAAATCCAGGGCCATATTATCCCACATTGAAGGGATGTCCCAGGCAAAATGTTTATAGCACCTTGTGGACACGTCTGGTGATGCGGCGCAGTTACATGCGAAGACGATGGGCGAGAGGACGATGTTGAGGTTGCATCAGGGGGATGATGTAGGGGGGAAGAGTTGGACGAGCGACGAGTATGCAGGAGTGAAAGAATCGGGAGGACCAGCAGCAAACATAATGGGGGGAGTACGACAATGAGGGACGGGAGGAGGATGAAGATGAGCAATTGGCAGCAGCAGCAGCTCGTAGACAAATCAAGTTGCTGACATGTGTGTGCCGTGTCCCAGATGGAATACCCGAGACACGCCGACAAATTTTGCACACCAGTCGAGGAGGGCTACAACAAGGGGAATCGTCGAGGTGGTAAGCGTGGGATGCTTAAACGTTTCTGGCCCTTCCTGGGCCCCGAGAGGCCAATGGAGACCTCTGGAGCAGGGACAGATCGAAAACAACTTGATCGGACACCCCGGAGATCTCTGGGGGAGGGGGAAGGGAGCAAGGGTGAGGAAGTTGGGGCGAGGGAGGAGGCAAGGGGAGTGCATGGGGGAGGGGGGAGGGAGGAAGAGTGGCAAAGACGTATCGTGGAGAGACAAGGGAACAGGAACGGGAGATCATGGTGTAGGAATATGTGGGAGAAGAAGGAGCTGGAGCAGGAGCAGGAGGAGGCAAAGGGACCAATCACGAGGAATGCACAGGAGGAATCTGGTTCGATATGGGGAGAACAAGGGAGGGGGGGCAGTTGAGGAGACAGATCGAGAGGGAGAGAAGGATGCAGCGGCGGAGGTAGGGGGATGCAGCGGCGGAGGACACTATAGGACTGTGCGGAGAGGGATGGCAGAAGAGAAGGGGGGAGAGAGAGTTCTTCCTCCTCCTCCTCCTCCTCCTCCTCCTCCTCCTCCTCCTCCTCCTCCCACTCCTTCCTTCTCCCCCTCTCCCCCTCCCCGTCCTCCTCTTGCTCCTCCTCCTCCTCCTCCGAGAGAGAGAGAGAGAGAGAGATGAGGAGGGGGAGGAGGAGGGGGAGGAGGAGGGGGAGGAGGGAAGAGGAGGGGGGGAGAGGGGGGGAGGAGGGGGGGGGGGGGTGGGGGAGGAGGGGAGGAGGAAGGGAAGAGAGGAGGAGGAGGAGGAGGAGGAGGAGGAGGAGCCCCTGAGTGTTGACGACGACCCGCGGCGACCCGAGGCCGGACCTGGGTGCCTTCAGGGCCCCGAGATCCTGCGCAGGCGGCGGGCGGGCCCCGCCCCCCCCCCCCCCCCCCCCCACCGCGGCGCCAAGCGCTGAGTCGGGCGTGTCCCTCCACAGGGGGGATACCTCCTCCTCCTCCTCCTCCTCCTTCTCCTCGTCCTCCTCCTCCTCCTCGTCCTCCTCCTCCTCCTCGTCCTCCTCCTCCTCGTCCTCCTCCTCCTCCTCATCTCCTCGTCATCCTCCTCCTCATCCTTCTCTCACGCGCTCTCGGGACACGCAGCGAGTTCGAGCAACTCGCTGCGGGGACGCCTGCCTGGGAGCCGCGGAGAGGAGCTGGCGTAGCCCTGCCTGCCGGCTTCTTGTTTATGACCATCTCAGTTCCCTAAAGAGCCATCCGGCAATCTCGCGTCGGGGCGCGTCTCAGGCGCCGAGGCGACGTCGCGACGGGCGCCGAGGCGACTTCGTGCAGAGGGCGAGAAAGAACGGATTGGCGTCGGGATCGGTTGGAAAACAAAGGTACTCCAGATTTCGTAATAAAAGGGAGGGGGTCTGGACCCTCCAAGACAAGCCATTTCAGACCCTCCAAGACAAGCCATTTCGTAATAAAAGGGAGGGGGGTCTCATTTCGGGGGGGGGGTCTCTTCCAGGCTATCTTGGAGGGCCTGGGGGGGTCTGGGGACTATGTTTTGGAGGGTTCTCCCACGGGGGGTCTGAAATGGCTTGTCTTGGAGGTCTGAAAAGACTTGTCTTGGCGGGCGAACCCCGCCCCCCCCCGTGGCGCCAAGCGCTAAGTCGGGCGTGTCCCTCCACAGGGGGGATACTCCAGAGTTCGTAATAAGAGTGAGGGGGTCTGGACCCTCCAAGACAAGCCATTTCAGACCTCCCCCGTGGGAGAACCCTCCAAAACATCGTCCCCAGACCCCCCAGGCCCTCCAAGATAGCCTGGAAGAGACCCCCCCCGAAATGAGACCCCCCTCCCTTTATTACGACATCTGGAGTACTCAAAAGTAGTTTTAAAATAGTCAGAGGACTATTTTTGAGTATTGTTGTGGGCCATCCTGGAATCTGTTCGTCGAAGTCCCCCTGTAGGGGGACAGGCCCGACTTAACGCCAGCGCCGTCCCCTCGCTGTGGGTGGGAGGTGCTCGTCCCGGGTGTACTCTCGAGGTCGAGGATGGGGAGCCTTGAGATGGGGGTCAATGCAGAGGGGGGTCAGCCAGAGCACCGGATCTCTTGCAGGATCCTGCAGAGCAAAAGGATGCTCTGCCCCGGGCTGGCGCGCTGGATCCTGCAGGAGCTTGCAGGATCCAGGAAAGCTCGGAGGTTTATAGACCTCCTGCCCTTGTAAAAGGGAGGTCTCTCCACCGCCGAACAGCCCGACTGGCCTTAAGTCGGGCATCTTGAAGGTATATGTTTTGAGTATTGTTGGGCATCTTTGGAGTATGTTTTTCCCCAATCAGAGCTTGCTTCTGTAGGGGTCCTAGCGGATATAAAGCTGAGGTGAGGTCGGCGGCCGATTTCGGTGGCCGGGGCCGGGTGCCCGGGTGCCCGGGGGTGCCCGGGTGGCCGATTTCGGTGGCCGGGCCCGGGTGCCCCAGTGCCCGGGGGCCCGGGGGTGCCCGGGTGCCTGAGGGTGCCCGGGTGCCCGGGGGGGCCCAGTAGCCCTATAGCCCTATAGCCCTATAGCCGTATAGCCCTATAGCCCTGTAGCCCTATAGCCTTATATCCCTATAGCCCTAATAACCTTATATCCCTATAGCCCCCTAGCCCATATAGCTCTATAGCCCCATAGCCCTATAGCCCTATGGCCCTATAGGTCACAGTCCTATAGCCCGATAGCCCTATGGCCCTATAGCCCGATAGCCGCATAGCCCTATAGTCCAATAGCCCTATAGCCCTGTAGCCCTATAGCCCTAACAAACATCTGTTCGGGGCTTTTCTCGTCGAACATCCCCCTGTAGGGGGACACGCCCGACCTAAGACTGGCCCTGGCTCGCACTGGCCCAGGCCGGCGCGTCCCCCCGAGAGGGTCCAGGTGTCGGGGCCTCCCGGAGGCTCCCCCTGGGCGCGGCCGGGCTCCCCGCAGGGCGCTGGCCAGCACGCGGCCTTGGGGGAGGCCTGGGGGTCGAGGGCCTCCTCCTCCTCCTCCTCCTCCTCCTCCTCCTCCTCCTCCTCCTCCTCCTCCTCCTCCGCCTCCTCCTCCTCCTCCTCCGCACCTGGCTTGTCCCCCTCCCCCTCCCCCTCCTCCTCCGCGGGGCCCTGGAGAGGAGGGGGTCTGGGAGGGTTGTTCGCCGTGTTCGGGCGGCTCACGAGGCCAGAGGCTCCCCAGGCACCAGATCGTTAAAATTGGCGGCGTGCACCAGCGGGTCAAGCAGTGGCGAAGCGTCCTGGCGTGCCTATAGTTCTACCAAACAATGTTCTAAGATCCGTTTGTGGTTTCCACGAAAGGTTCTTAGAACACGTCTGGCTGTGACTGTCTTGTTTTATCACATCGGGTTTATGCTCTAAGAACATGGTTTTGTTGTTGGAACATTTTGGGGTTCTAAGAGAATTTCGTGGTAGGACTATAGGAATGCCGGGACGGTCGGTCCCTGCTCAAGCGGGTGGGGGGGGAAGGCTCCTCAGAGAGAGACTGGTCCTTAGAAGGCGCAGGCCCTACATCTGCAGGCAGGGCCCGCGCCCTGCAAGATGCAGCCTCCTTCTGAGAAGCCTTCCCCACTCCGCCTAGCCCCCTGTGCGCGCCGCCACATCAAGACGACCCCGGATGAGAAGCTCCTATCAGGAGGGAAACAAACACAGACACAATTAATCGCCGATTTCCAGAAAATATGAAAAAATATTGGGAATCTTGGTATTTGTGTCTATTTAGTTGTGTGTGTCCCAGGGCCCCTTCATCCTAGGCCTACCAGATGGGGTTGATGGTGTCGGAGGATCGCGCCGCATCGCCGATGCATCGGCGATGCCTCGGCGATGCGGCCTCGATGTGGAGCGTGATTTTCTCCACGCCGGCGTCGCCGATGCACCGCCGACGGCGGCGACGCATCCTCGATGCATCGGCGATGCGTCGCGATCCCTCGACCCCATCTGTACTCGGACACCATCTGTCAGGAGGTGGGAAAAAACAGACACAATTAATCGTCGATTCCCCAGAACATGTGGAAAAATATTGGACATGGGGGGGGGAGAGAAGAACCCAGAAAACATGGGAAAGTATGGGTAATCATGTTATTTGTGTGTATTTGTTTGTGTGTCCCAGGGCCCCTTCAATCCGGGAGGCCACTCTTAAGTTGGCCCAGGGCACGGCCCCAGAGCCAGGGCCTGCTTCGACCGGGGCCCTCTCCATCGGGCCAAGGCATCGGGGGCAACGATAGGGAAAAAAATACACACAGACAATGATTCGTCGATTCTCCCAGGAAATATGGGGAAATATGGGAAGTGTGGGGGAAGACAACAACCAAGAACAGATTGGAAAATATTGGGAATATGGTTACGTGTGTCTATTTATTTGTGTGTCCCAGTTCCCCTTCAGATAGGGGGGGATAGCCAAAGGGAGGGATGCATCGACCCCCAATCGCCCACTGATCGCCGATAGGGGCCCGATAGCCCCAACCCGGCCAGGAAGGTGCGGACACACTATCGTGGGGCTATCGCCGATCGATCGGCGATGTGTCGCCCATTCCATGTCGATGCACCCCCCCCTATGCCAGTCCCCCCCTACCGTTGCCCCTCAAGCCCACGTGAGCACAGTCGTGGTCGTCGCCATCAGCAACCTTAGCGTTGCCGCCGCCGTCGGTGTGGCAACTCTGTCGCCAACGTCGTCATCGTCACCTTGATCGGGGGGCGGCCGCGGCGTTCCCCTGGGGGTGACCAGGGCGACTTCGACGGGCCATCATGGCAGGGCGTTCGCGCGCGACGGGGCAAGCGAAGTTGATGGCGAGAACGCTTTTACGACATGCTGGGGTTAGGTGCAAGATTCGGAGAATGAAAACATGATTGACAACATCAGTTCGCTCGGTCGGGGGCCCTGCCACGGTCGCCAGGGAGATGGTCTTCGCTGTCATGTAGACGGTTGGCCTCCTGCAGGCCCGCTGGCTGCCGCTATTGGGACAAGGTGGGCCCCTTCCTGCAAACGATCCCCGGGTGTTTCGCGAGATTGACGGCGAGGTCGCAAGCGCGCGACCGATTGGAATCCAGTTCCCTGGGCGCGGGGCACACCACCGCGAGTTGGGAAGGGGGGCGTTCGAGGCGGACGAGACAGACGAAGAGGCGCTCCGCTGGCTCGAGTTCGTGGCACTTTGGCCAACACGGATCGGGTCAGGGCGATCCATTGGCTCGCCACAAAGAAATCTGTGGCTCATCGATCGTGCGCACTAACGAAAGCCCCGTGGGGCTGCTCGAATGCCGGCGTGCCAAACGGCCGTGTTCACCAGTTGCAGATGTCCTTTTCTGGAAGCGGGGGCTCGGTTCAAGCCTTGATCCCCGGCGGGGCGATCATTGCTGCGCAGAGACAGCGGATGGGAGAACGATATTCTGGCGATTGCAGCATCGGACGCCGTGCATGCATAGATTGAGATACTTCAGACAGGAGCGATAACGTCGGATACGGTTGTTGCTTTGATGCGCTCGGCCCAGCCGCTCCTGGGAGACTGCCGGGCTTGGCTGGAGCGCAAGAACCGAATCGCGGCGCTGCTTGTCACGCTGCATCGCGCTTGCTGGGGGCTGCGAGACCCAGCGACCTTGGTTGACGACAGAGGTTGCACTTGAGGCGCCCGCTTCTACTCAGCCAACTTCAAGGCCCACGGTGTCCGGCGGCCGGTGGGCAGGCGTGCGGTGGCTCAAATGCCAAGCGCAGGCACTACGCGCACAGGCCCACTTGGTTGGGGGCCGATTGATCAACATTCACGCTGCAGAGGCCTGTCGCCCCACGAGAAGCGCCCCCCTGAAAGGCGCCAACCTCTGGAGGACACTGGCGCCGGGTTCACGTGGCGAGAGCTTTCGCTGGAGAGAAGCGCCTTTGTTTGCGGCGCGGCGCGGCTGCGCGGGCGCGGTTCCACGCCTTTCTGTTTGCGACGCCTGCGAGAGCCATCGACGGACGTCGATCCCATCGGAAGTTCGGGAGGCCGCGCAAAACCTCGGAGCCGAGTCGTTCGGCGGACAGGACAGGCGCGCCAGAGGCCTCTTGCCGCGCTTTGGGCAGGCCTTCCGCGGCGCGCCCAGGCCCAGTCGCCGCGATTTTATTGACGTGGACCGCGCGGGGGCCATCGCTGCCCAGGGCGGGCGCGTCTTTTTTGACCGCTGCGGATGCGGCGCCAAATGCCCAGAGGTGAGATCAGCTGGCTGGGTGGTCTCAGTCTATTGCGCAGAGAGAGAGAGAGAGAGAAAAAGAAAGAAAGAAAGAAAGAGAGAGCGCGACTGGGTCGCTTCCTGGGCGCCGTGCCGCGAGAAGAAGGCCCTAGCCAAGTGGCTCTTGGCGGTGAAGATTACGCGCTGTATCATGCGAGCCAGATGGGCACGGGGAGCTTCGCGCTGCGCTCGGACTCCCACGCGTTGACGCCGCAACCTTGGCCAGGCGAGCGGGCCAGGCAACCTTCGAGCTCACGCATGGAGGCGCGCAGCATTGAATGGTGATTTTTGCCGCGCAAGTGCCCTTCATGCGAGAGCCCGCGCCGCGTGGAACGACGCGCGAGAAGCGCTGGCATTGCAAGTCGAGAAGGACACCAACGAGGAAGCGGATGAGATGGCCAGGCGAAGTGCAGGTTCTCATCGCGCCGACGCATCGGCCCCGGCCTTGCTTCGAGGGGCAGCCAGGTTCCACGAGGTGCTCCTCAAATGCACCGCGGCTTTCGGCATGTGGTTCCACGGGGTCCAAGGATCGCGCTTTCCCCGAGCCCGAGGAAGATGCCCTGGCGACGAGAAAGCTGCGGCCGTTGAAGCGTTGAGTCTGTGGCCGTGGCACATTATTGGCAGTTCTATTCTGGAGTTCTGCATTGCCGGCAGCGGTGAGGCATTGTTGCGTTGCTCGTACTGCTGCAAGTACGTGAACGCTGGAAGCGTGAACCGCCACGGACGTGATATGACACGCACAGAGAAAGCGAGAGGATCTGGACGAAGTGCTGAGAACACCATACATGCATCGACCCTGCGGCACCCGCAGGCACGCAAAAGCCCCGCGAGGCTGAAGGAGGCGAGAAGCCCGTCAGCTGCGTCGCGCAGTTTCTCGCGCAGGGCCAAGGGCTGGTCTGGCCCCGCCGATGGAATTGAATTTCATATGCCCGGGAGCAAGCGGGGACGAGTGAATGCATCGAGGCTGCTGGACGCTAGTGCCACGCTGCGCGACTGCGGGCTTTCGGGCGACGACCTGGTGGCTTTCGGCACCACCGCCGCCCCGGAGTCCGAAGATGAGCTCTGGGAGTGACGGTCGAGGCCCTTGGAGTTCACAGGGTTTGACCTGCGTGACGCTTTCCTCGACGTCGTCTTCCAGGGCACGCTGGTGAGCCCGCCCTTCCAGGCCCGTCTTGCTGCGGCCAACGAGGCCGCCGTGCTGCGCGCTGTCGGTCTGGGCTTCCCATCCTGGCTAGCTGTCAGCCCCCTTTCCGCCCTTGGGCTTCGGTGTAAACAGCGGTTGGGACGGGTGGGCAACGTCTGTTAGCACTCTCCTGAACCAACTGCCTCTCGGTGTCTGCTCGCTCGCTCGCTCGCCCGAAGCATCCTCCAGCGCCGCGAGATCTCAGAGGCCCCCAGCGCGCCCCCGCCCGACGCGGGCCCCGCCCCGGCCCCGCCTCGTAGAAGGGGGTCGGAGGTTCCAAAGGGCCCAGGGTCAAGTCGGGCATGTCCCTCTACAGGGGGAATATTCAAACATATTACAATCATAGTTCAGGGACGATTTTTCTATCATGTGCCCACCATGTTTGAATAGTGCTTGATTACTTTTGAACTGTTCCTCCAAAATCTGCCCGCAGGTGGACATGCCCGACCTGGGCCCAGGGTCGCGGGGCGATCGGCGATGATGACAGCGAGGGCGACGACGAGCCTCGTCGTCCTCGTCGCTGCCCTCGGCACGAGGCGCGCTGCTCTAGGCGTCCCAGATGGGGTCCGAGTTGGATAGGGTCGGAGGATCACGCCCACCGCCGCTGCATCAGCGCTGCAGTTCGATGCGGGGCCCGATGTTATCCATGCTGGCGTCGCCGATGCTTCGCCGACGTCGCCGATGCATAGTCGATGCATCGCCGATGCCTCGCCGATGCATCGGCGTTGCGACGCGCTTCTCCGACCCCATCAATTCGCAAGTCGGGCATGTCCCTCTACAGAAGGGATATCCAACAGAAAAGTGTATGGGGGCGATGTTTTTGTATGTTGGACCATTTCTGAATCTGTTTTCCGTTTCTTTGTGGATCTGCATCCACATTTCGCGAGTAGGGGAAGATGCCCGACTCAAAGCTGCATTGGGAACCCGTGCCAAGAAGCACCCTGCTCGCCTGCAGAGTGCCCTGGGTTTTGTTTCGGTTGTGGGGGCTGTGCCACCGGAGGTGTGCCCTTCCCACACCAAAAAACCATGGAAGGGTTGGGTTTTTTTGTGGAAGGTTTTTTGTTGGGTTGTTTTTTTTGTGGAATGGTTGGGTTTTTTGTGGAAGGGTTGGGTTTTTCGTGGAAGGTTTTTTGGGGGGTCGCGCCCCTGCTGCACCCGGGACAAACATCGGCGGGGGGGCCCCGAGCTGCGGGCTCCAGGTCGACAGCTCCAGAGGGGGCCGCGGCGCCTGCGCGGGGAAAGTGGGCGAGGCGCACGGGCGTCCGAGAGCCGACAGCACCCTCACGGCATTGAGGGACGCGTGGTCTGACAAGTGCCCGAGTTATCTCGGGGGAAAACAAACCTACCTCGCTTTTGACCACCCTCGCTTCCAAGAGATACCAAACGATGCCAGATTGCGGCCTGTACTGGTCAGGCCGCTTGACGAGGAGGCGCGTGGTATGGCTTGGTTTTGCCTGGAAGCGAAAGCGGGGGAGGTAATTCACGCTCTGATTATCGAGCGGTTCGATTTTGAACAGCGTTCCAATGTATGTTTGCTGGGGCGGCGGCGGAGGCGCCGCCAGGGGGGCCCAGCGCGGGTCCAAGAAGTCCGCGTGGGGCGCCAACAGTTTATGTTCAGATGGTTGTTTGTCGATGCGAACCTCGTCAGACATATACTGGAACGCTCCTCCAAATCAAAGCGCTCGAAACGAAGCGCTTCGACTTTGAACAGCGTTCCAATGTACGTTTGACGAGGCTTGTAGGGGAGGAGGAGGACGACGAAGATGATCGTGAAGGGGCAAAGGAGAGAGGCGGAAAAGGAGGAGGAGGAGGAGGAGGAGGAGAAGGAGAAAGAAAAGGCAGAGGAGGAGGAGGAGCGTGGAACAGAGAAGAGGGGGACGAGGAGACGGCAGCCGAAGCACGACGGGGGAAAGGGCGGAGCCGCAGCTTCGAGCTGCAGGCTGCGGGTCGAGAGCCCCTGGGGGGGGGCCTCCGCGCGGGGCCGCGGCGAGCGGGGCGCGCTCGCGGCGGCGGCGGCGCCAGGCTCGTCGCGGGCTGCCTCCGCCTCGGTGGCCTGCAGCCACCGCCCCGCGGCCCGCTGGCGGCCGCCCTCGCCGCCGTGGCGGGCGCCGCGCCGCGGGCGCCGGCGCTGGCGCGCGGAGGGGCCGCCGCCCCTCGAGGAAGAGCGCGCCATAAGCAGACAGTCCGCCCGAATCGCAAGCAAAGCGAGGGCGCCCTCGAGGGCGCGGGGTTGTTCGCGCTTGGCGCTTCGGCTCCGATTCTCCCCTGGGAGGCGGCGCGAGGGCGCGAAGTTGTTCGCACTTCGCGCTTCGCGCAGCGCGAAGCGCGAAGTTGGGAGCCCTTGGTAAGGGTGGGCAACCTTTCCAAGGCTGCCCTTGCATCCTTGCCTCCTCGGCCCATCCTTGGCCACTTTCGTTGGCCGCGCCCCGCTCGAAAAGCTTCGACGTGGCCTTCCAAGACCCTTGCATCCTTATCGCGCATCCTTACAATACTGGTTGACTGTAAACTTTTGACGCCCCGCGCGGATTTCTAGGATCTGCGCTGGGAGCCCCCTGGCGGCGCCTCCGGCGCCGCTCCTGGCGCGCTCCGCGCGCCAGGCAGGGGGGTCCAGCGCGGATCCTCAAACTCGCGCGGAACACCAAAAGTGTATGCTTATGTAGTTTCTTCTTCTTCTTCTTCTAGCCCTGGCCGTCGTCGACGTCGTCTTCGTGCTTCGGTCGCCCGTGCCTTCGCCCTCCTCGCCGGCGTCGTCGTCGTCGGCCGCGGTGCTTCGCCATGGGGTTAGAGCGGGTCCCGAGGGAGACGGGTCCTGAGACGTTTGCGCCGTTTGCAGGCTCTCGGGGCCCTCCACGGGCCCCGGGGACTGTCAGAAAGCGCCTCGGGGCTGAGGACCTCATCCCGGGGGAAGTGTCGCCAGGGTCCAGGGCCCGGTTCCCTCGGGACCCGTTCCCCCAAGCTGATTGCTGCCGCGGCGCCGCGGCGATTGTCATGGCTCGGGGGCGGCAAAGAGGGGGGGTCATGACTAGGGGGGGGGGATATCATGGCGGGGGCCATGATATTTCCCCAGATTTCATGGCGCCTCTTCTTGCTCCATTACGTCCCTGGCCCCCCCGCTGGGCCGCGCACATGCCGCCGGTCATGATTTGCACTACCCCCCTCTTGGACACCCCCCTCTTGGCCGCTCCCGAATGGCCGACATCCCCTGCTCACGGAGAGGGAGCGAAAACAGAAACAAGCCTTGCTTCGAGCGAAAAGAGAATCGGCCCACGGAAAAGAAATTGCAGACTGCGATTCTGGGCGAGTGATCTCGATCATCTGGCCGATTGATAGTTCGCCTGCTGCAGTGTGCTTAGGCATCGGTCGATGTTTGCGTGCAGCTTGCAGATGGGCGGGCGCGCGTAGTCGGCGCCATTCGGTTGTCTAGCCGTTTTTAAACAAACATTGTTGTTTGTGATCAGTTGTTTATTTACTGTTTTGCCGATCGGCGCGGGCTCGCACCCCGCCCCCCTCGTGGAGTAGATCTTGGTTGGTTTTGGTGGCTTTGGGCGCCTGTTTCGAGCAGGCGGAATCCCTCCCCCGTAGGACGCACGGTTCTGAGCAGTCGCACCGAACAGAGGTCTGGAGCCAGACCCTCCCCCCCCTCGCCTCCTCCCCCTTCCGCCCAATGCCGCAACGCCGAATAAGAAAGCACTGACTTGTCTAACCACCTTCTTGATTAAGCAAACGTTGCTGTCTGGGGCTTCCATGCCAGCGCGCTCCTCCTTCCCATCTTTCGCGCCCGCGGAGGCTCGGGCGGGCGATCTCGCCAGGTGGAAGCGCCCACGACGAGGCATGTTCGGGTCGCGGTGCCGCGGCGGGCCGCCGGGGGTCGTCCCACATCCATCTTCTCGCGGGGAGCAGGGGAATTCGAAAAAGAACTAGTTGCTAAGCATGAACTTTTGCGCCCCGCGCGGATTTCTTGGATCTGCGGGCGCCGATGCAGCGTCGCGCTGGCGTGCTGGGCGCTGCACATGTTTGCGTGTCGTTGTTGCTTTCTTTCGTTATGATTCGGCGGCGAGCGAGGGGGGAAGTGAGAAGGAGAAGACCTTCTCAGAAGGTGGCGGGACTTCTGAGAAGCCCTCGCGCCTTCTGATAGGTGTTTTCTCTTGTCGGGGAATGCTTAGAGCACTTCTCAGAAGGCCGGGGGACTTCCGAGACATCTGAGGAGACCCGCCCCTTCTCATTTCCCCCCCTCGCTCGCAGCCAACTGTTTGTTGGACTTCCCGTTGGTGGCCGTGCGTGCAGGGAGAGGAGGCTGTGGGGATTGGGGGGAGGGGGCTCTCCGCCTGGGCGGCTCGCCGTGTCGTGCACAGGGCGACGACGGCGCCGACGACGAGGAGGAGCAGAGGAGTCCGGGACATTCAGCGCCCTTGGGAGCCGTTTGTGGGCCTCGGGGCTGTCAGGAAACAAGCCTGGACGAACAGCCAGCCCCGGGGAAGGAGGAGTCGAGTGGTCCAGCCCACGCATCAAAAAGTAAAAGCGTCGGATGTCTGGGGTTGGAGGGGGAGGTCGTCGAGGAGGCCGAGGACGAGGACGACGACGATGGCCTTGTCCTCTTCCTCCACCCTCCCCGGGAGAACAATACAGTTGCATGACATGACCTTTCGGAGGCCAGCGCGGATTTCTTGGGTTGGCGCAAGAGGCACGGGTACGGGCAGGAGGAGGAGGAGGAGGAGGCGGAAGGATATAAGAAAGGAGTGGGCGCAGGGGGGAGGATGGAGTACCGAGGAGTGGGAAGGAGGCGGAGGAGGGGGAGGATGAGAATCCATGAGCTCAAGAATTTCTCGAGCATCCATGATCACCGCCAATGTGAGGAGCGGGCACTTTCATAATGCAAGCACAGGCTTCAGAATTAAGGCCAAATCTCTGCTTGATCTGGTTGTTTAACAGTACGTTGGCGTGCCAACGACGTCTCGTCAGTCCTGGTCTTCTTCGGCATCGCCACCGTCCTCGTCGACTCTGTAGGCATCCATCAAAATCTTGATTGTATGCTTCCGCTGCCGTCCCATGTTGGCCACACCGACCTCCGCATTCCATGCGATGGGTTTCATCTGATCCACTGGCCTCGGTCCCATTTGGTTCCCTTCCTCGGCATCGCCACTATCTGGGGGATCAGTAATACTTGCACAGGCCAGGGGAAAGGATGCTTTCTGCTAGGTATCGGCGAGGACAAAATGCTGAAGGTTGGGTGTGGCCTGGTGGGTGGCGACGAGCTGTTTCATGGTTTTGAGCGTCTTGTTTTATTGTTCCTTATTCTTCCTATTATTATTGTTATTCTTAGTCTCATTATAACTCGTTGTCGTATTATTCGTGGGGTGAGTCCATGACTTCCTGCATAGTGCAGGTGCCCGAGGGGATGCGAATGGGCTCCCCGGAGTGCTCCCCTGTTGCAACCTTGCTCGTGCGTGCCAGCACGGCTGCCTCCCGGTGTGCGGCTAGCTGCTCCGCGGTTGGCTCTGCAGCCCTCCGCAGTGAGAGCGCCTTCGGCCCGAGGAGGTCAAGCCTGGCTCCTTGGCGCCGTAGCTCAGAGGAGGGAAAGGGGACCCCATGACCCCCACCCTTCCCTCGTCTCCCGTGTTTTGGGCCTCCTGGGAGGCCCTCGTCGCCGGCGCTGGATTCGCCTCGAGTTCCTGGTCAGAGCGCACCCTGGGAGAGGTCCGGGGAGTAGCGGTATCGGTCTCTTTTGGTTTCCCCAATCACCCGTTGCATCGCCAAGCGCCCCCCTCCCCCCCGCGATCCGCGCGAGATTCTCAACCAACACCGGGAAACTCTGCTAGGGCTTGGCATCGTCCTCCCTCCGTCTTTCTCCCCCTCCTCCCACTTGGTCCTCCTCCCCAGCCTTCTCGCTTCTCGCAAACGGTTGTCCATTATGAGAAACCAATACGTCCACCCTTCGGGTGAGAAGGGTGTCGTGTGCGGGGGCGACGGAACGAACGTCTCACTCAATTGATCTCACCACCGGTCTCAGTGTCGATCTCACCTCACTACTGGTCTCACTATCGGTCTCACTGCCGGTCTCACTCTATCGATCTCATTGTCGGAGCACCGACAGGATACCCCTGGCCACCGCCGCGGACACCGACCGGACACCACGGAGGGACACTGAGGCGGACAACCCCAGCCACGCCAGCCCACCAGAGGGGCGGTCTTTATTTTGCCCCGCCTTAGCCGCAGCGGGGTCATTCCTCTCGCCCGCCCACGCAGCTTTCCCTCGCCCGCAAGCGCGATTCGAACCCGAAACCGAACCGATGTTTTGGTGGGGGCTTCTCTGTTCCACTTCGATCTCACCCACCAACCTCCGATTATGAGTTCGGCAACGTGCAGTGTTGCCGCCCACCTCACCCGCGCATTGTTTTCCTAACAGTGTGTATCTGCGCGTACTAGTCCCCGCAGTTGCGGGCGAGAGTGAGAGCGAGGAGGGTGGTCGGAAGTGGTCGACCTTCGAAAGCGAATGCGGATGAACCTGCGTTGCCGCAGCCACCACTCTCTTGACACGTAGCACAGCGAGCCCGCCGCAGGTGCCATTTCTATGGTCAAAGCTATCTGGGTCCCCGGTGGTCTGCGGGGCTGGTGTGCCGCGGTGCCGCGGGGCGTGTGGCGGGTGGGTCGCGGGGCGTGTGGCGACAACGAAGAGCAACAGTCAGCTGCTCCGCGGAACCCCCGCCTTCGCCGAGCACCCAGGAGGGACGGTGTAAGACCGATCGACCCCCTCGTTATGATGTGTGTGTTCTGTCGGAACACCTCCGTCCGTTCGAGAACGGTTCTCCCCTCCTCCTTCCTCCTCCCCCACCCTCCTCCTCTTCCTCCTGCCCCCCCTCCCCCCCCCTCCTCCTCCTCCTCCTCCTCCTACCTCCTCCTCCTCCTCCTCCTCCTCCTCCTCCTCCTCCTCCTCCTCCCCTCATCCTCCTCCTCCTCCTCACTCCTCTCTCTCCCTGCCTTCTTTCTCCTCCTCCTTTCCTCCTCCTCTCCTCCTCCCCCTCCTCTCCTCCTCCTCCTCCTCCTCCTCCTTTTCTTTCCCTCCTCCTCTCCTCCTCCTCCTCCTCCTCCCCCTCCTCCTCCTCCTCCCCTCCTCCTCCTCCTCAACTCCTCCTCTTCCTCCTCACTCCTCCTCCTCCCCCTCCTCCTCCCCCTCCTCCTCCTCCTCCTCCTCCTCCCTGCAGTGCTGGCCACAGCTCGGGGTCGGCGCACGGCTCCCGTCGCACAGGAGTGGCGCGCCTCGTCCGAGGGACAGGCCGCACCTCTGGGACCCGATGCCTCGTCGCTGCAGGCCCCCTCTCGGAAGCTGGGGCATCTACACTGCCAGTGGCGGGCGGTGTTTCAGCCCCAGGACTTGCTTGAGGATCGGGGGCGACGTCGGGGTGGTGTGGTGTATACTTTTTGTTCCAGGTTTCCTGGGGAAGCAACGAAGCATGTATACACCAAGATCCCGTCTACACCAGGATCCGCTTTCCTGTGCGGGATTCGATGTGAGGCCAGACAGACGCGTCGGTGTATAGAGTTCGGTTCCCTACCTTCCTTCCCGCTCGTCCTTCCCCTGGCGATCCTGCTCCTCCTGCTCTTGCTGCTCGACCTCCACCTCCGAGTGCTTCCGCAGTTCCCCTCGTGCACAGCAGCGCTCCTCTCGACTGCGCAACAGCCTGAAGGTCAGATCCTGCAAGCGGCACCTGGGGGCCAGGGTCTCCCTGGACACCCGAGTCAGCGGACAGAGCTGTGCACAAGGATGGGCAGGGCAGGCAGGCGACAGATGGGGCGCGAGCGCGCCGAGCTTGTCGTCCTCCCTCCCTCTCCCCCCATAATGCCACCCATCCTCCACTACCCTTACAGGAGAAATATAAAACATACTGTGGGGACGATGTTCTGACTATGTTTGAATATGTTTGAATAGTTGGGGCGAGGATGAGAGGAGTGGGGGGAATGTTCGCCAGATGCTCCGAAATGCATGCCCATGAGATACCGAGGGCATGATCGCGAAGCAGGCAGATGCAGAAAGGAGAGGGGGAGGGGGAGGGGGAGGGGAAGGGGGAGAGGGGAGAGGAGGAGGAGAGGAGGAAGGAGGAGGACGACGAAAGGGAGGAGAGGAGAGAGGAGGAGAGGAGGGAGGAGGAGGAGGGGGAGAGGTGAGAGGGGAGGAGAGGAGGAGGGGAAGCAGGAGGAGGAGGAGGAGGAGGAGGAGGAGGGGAGGAGGAGGAGGAATCCCTCCCTCCCTCCTCTTCTCCCTCCTCCCCTCCCCCTCCCCCTGCCTCCGCCCACGCCGACGCCGACGACGGCGGCGCCGACGGCAGCGACGTCAAGGCCGACTGCGAGGAGCCGATGAAGGTGCCGCTGCCCGCGGCGGTGGCCCCGCGCGCGCGGCTGGGCGCGTGAGCTGCGCGCGCGGAAGAGGAGGAGGAGGAGGAGGAGGAGGAGGAGGAGGAGGAGGAGGAGGAGGAGGAGGAGGAGAAGCAGGAGCAGGAGGAGGAGGAGGAGGAGAAGCGGGACCAGGAGCAGGAGGAGGAGGAGGAGGAAGAGAAGCAGCAACAATGGGAGCAGGAGGAGGGGAATCGGGGACCGAGGGAGGGGGATCGTCATCAGGCGGGCTGGAGGGTGGGGATCGAGGATGGGGGGAATCGAGGACAGAGGTTGGCGTTGGAGCTGTTGGGGGGAAGGGTGAGGGGGCAGGTTCGAGGTTTTGGGTTCGAGTGGGTTTTTTGTCCTTTAGTGCCTGCGGGGGACGTCTTCGGGCCCCGATGCCGGGTGAATCTGGGGACCAATTTTGAGCGCATTGGGTTGCATCCCCCTTCCTGACAGATCTGGGGTCCCAACCAGTTCAGACCCCCCAGCCGCCCCCAAGGGTGGGGGATCGTCATCGGGCGGGCCGGAGGGTGGGGGATCGAGGCTGGGGAGTCGAGGATGGAGGGTCGGGATCGTCATCGGGGATGGAGGGTAGGGGATGGAGGACGAGGGTGGGGACAGAGGATGGAGGACGGGGGCTAGAGAGCATGGAGGGTGGGGGCTCGTCAGCGGGCGGGCCTCTGTTGGTCGTCGTGATGTCCCCGCGGGCGGAGCCTGGTGTCTCTTTCCGTCCCTCCAGCTCTTCTTCTCCACCCCCCTCTGTCGTCGGGATCCCGCGAAGGGGGTGCGTGCCCCGGGGGTTGTGAGTTCAATCAGCTTCTGCACCGAACCGCCCAAAACATGTGCCCCCCAGCAGCCGGCAGCTCCCGATAGTTGCCGATAGGTCGGGCACGCGGGGGGCATCGGTTTGCGGCACTTCGGTGCACCAGCGGATCGAATTCGTGCCCTAAAATCGACCTCCAGGAAGTTGTCTTCGTCCTTCCGGGAAGAAGCCCGTTGACTGTTTCGCGTGCCGCGCCTCATTCTGGGAAGTTGTTTTTTCCTTCCGCGAGGGCCGTTTTAGCAGCCACAGTTTTAGCAGCCCTCGCCCAGCTTTCGACTTTGGCGGATCCCAAGATTGGCAGGGGTGGGGCGGGGCCCCCGAAGCCCGATGGCTGTTTCTTCTCGAACGGGGTAGTAGAGCCGCTGCTTCCCCCTGCGCAGGGCGGGCCGCTCTGCAGAAGTGGCTCGTCGTCGTGGGTTCATTCGCGGCTGTCTCACCTGATGTAAGTTGCCAGGGGAACAAAAAGTGACATAAACATAAAAACTCGGAGGTCCGCGCGAATTTCTCGGATCGGCGCTGGACCCCCCTCCCTGGCACGCGGAGCGCGCCAGGGGCGGCGCCGGAGGCGTCGCCGGGGGGGCCCAGCGACGATCCGAGAAATCCGCGCGGACCTCTGAGTTTTCATGTTTATGTCACTGGTTGTTCCCCTAAGTGTGCTTGCGCGGTGCCCAGGTGTTGTTCCGCATCGTTCCGACGGTTCCTGATCGAGAGTGCTCAAATAAAGAAAAAGCGCATAACCGTGAGTGTAACAGCGTCGATCAAGTTTCCCCGTGGACGTTCCAAGTCCCATGCTCTGCCTTCTCGGGCACAGGGGGGGAGAGCCAGCGCGCCTGTCACATCCGTGAGTTTCCACATAAGTTGCGTGAGCGTTCGACCGCGTGCGACTGGGCCCTAGTATTAAGGCGGGCTCGTCCCTCTACACGGGGAATATCCAAACATAGTTTAAAACATAGGTTGGGGATTATGTTTTGAATATGTTTTGACCATCTTGGATTTTTATGCGTATGTTTAATTTTTCGTCGAAAATCCCCCTGTAGGGGGACACGCCCGACTCAACCCTGGTAGGGGCGTCGTCGTGGTTCGGACATCGCTGCCCTTCGCAGCGAGTTGAGTTCCGCCCACGGACCAAGTCTGGGAGGTACGGCGCGCGTCCAGGAGAGGGCCGCAGCCCCGATACAACAAATGCCTGAGCCTTTTGTTGATAGGCCTGTTTTCCACCACCATAAGTTGGAGGGGGAGGAGGTCCTCCTCCTCCTCCTCCTCCTCCTCCTCCTCCTCCTCGTCCCTCTCCTCCTCCTCCCCCTCCTCCTCGTCCCCCTCCTCCTCCTCCTCCACCTCCTCCTCCTCCTCCTCCTCCTCCGCCCCCTCCTCCTCCTCCCTACCCCCTCCAACATATGGTGGTGGTGATCGAAAACAAGCCCATGATTTGTTGCAGACCTTTCATTAACCCGCCCACAGAGAAGGGTCTTTGGGACATGCAGGAGAAAGAGGGAGGGCCCAAGGAAGGGGGCTGGAGGGAATGTCCCATCGGGTTGAACGGATCCCGCTTGGCCAATCGCAGTGCTGTCTTGGGCGAGGTTGATTTGCATGTTTCGCGCAACATGAGCTTGTGGCTGCCCGGCTTCGGTGACAGAGTGTTTTCAGTCAGGATGAATGAGTCCATTTCGCCGTTGGCCAGTGCCGGCCCCCATTCGACGGGTCGCAGGAAGACGCGTCTTCGACGGCAGGACTGCCCCACCGACCCGTAGGACAGCGCCGCGCTGAGGAGGGGCTCTTTGTAAGCGAAAGGCAGCTGGACTGCGCATGCGAGTCGAGAGGCCGGTCCAGAGGGCACCCGTTCAAGGGTTTTTAGCGCGGGGTCCCCGGAAGCCTCATGCCCAGATTCTTTTTCCTCCCTATCATTCATAATTCATGTTTATTCCCCACATGTTTCGTGGGGCTCTGGTTTTTTCCCTGCCGCGCCGCACCCGCGTCTCACACCTCCCCCCCTCCCCTTCTCCTTCTCGCACCAGAGCGGGTGTGCAGAGGGGTGGTCCCTGAACTCGGCCGCTATGCACGACGGTCGTGGCAGGCGTGGCATTTCCTCGACGCCACAGGGGGTGCGCTGAGGGTGGGGGCCCTATGCGCTGCAGGCTCCCAGGGCGTGGCAGACGTGGCATTCCCTCGACGCCACAGGGGGTGCGCTGGGGGTGGGGGCCCTATGCGCTGCAGGCTCCCAGGGCGTGGCAGGCGTGGCATTTCCTCGACGCCACAGGGGGTGCGCTGAGGGCGGGGGCCCTATGCGCTGCAGGCTCCCAGGGCGTGGCAGGCGTGGCATGTCGTCGACGCCACAGGGGGTGCGCTGGGAGGTAGGAGGAGGAGGTACAGGAGGAGTAGGAGGAGGAGGAGGAGGAGCAGGAGGAGGAGGAGGAGGAGCAGGAGGAGGAGGAGGACGGGGAGGTGGGGCAGCAGCAACGGCAATAGCAGCAGCAGACGCAGCAGCAGCAGGAGAAGCAGCAGCAGGAGAAGCAGCAGCAGGAGGAGGACACCGAGGAGGAGAAGGAGGAGCAGCAGCAGAAGCACCGATGGTACACATGGGAAATAAAATAGGTATGTGGGGTTCCTCGGTAGCGTAATTGCCGTCCATTATTGTTAGTCGTTGCGCCCCACGTTTCGGATCCGCTTTCATGTCCTCCCTCCTATTCCACCTCTCGGTTGCCACTTGTCTCTCGCCCGCTCTTGGCATTGTCGGCTACACGTGTTTCCCCCGGGCTCGTCACGTTCATTTTCCGATTCGTGCTTGCGCCACGTTCGAGCAATTCCCGCGCGCGGGCTTTCGGGCAGCAGCGGTGCGCTCGCGCCACATGAATTTAGATGCAGGGCCCATAACCCAGGAGTTTCGCAGAAGAAACAACACACAAACAACTTTCGGCGCTCCGCGCGAATATCTGGGATCCGCGCTGGGGCTCCCTGGCGGCGCTCCCGGCGCCGCTGCTCGCGCGCTCCGCGCGCCAGGGAGGAAGGCCCAGCGCAAATGCACAAAATCCGCGCGGACAATCGAAAATTCTAGACGCTTCGCGTATCCCCACCAGCCCGTCCAGAAATGAGTCCCAGGGGAGTGGAGGTTATGAGGGAAGCGGGGGAGCATGCAGAAGAACAAAGGGCGGGGTGAGCCGCCATATACCCCAAGAGGGGGAGGATGTAGGAGGAGCCGTCGTCGTCGGAGTAGGAGGAGAAAGAGGAGGAGCAGGAGGAGGAGCAGGAGGAGGAGGAGGAATAGAAGGAGGAGGAGATGGAGGACTGCGAGGACGAGGAGGACGAGAAGGAGGAAAAGGAGAAGGAGGAGGAGGAGGAGGAGGAGGAGGAGGAGGGGGAGGGGGAGGAGGGAGGAGGAAGAAAAAGAGGAGGAGGAGGAGGAGGAGGAGGAGGACAATTGCGAGCTTGGGGGCCTCTTGGGCCGTCCTTGGGGCCTCTTGGCGGTCCCCGGGGCCTCTTGCGTATCTCGGGGAGCCTCTTGTGGCCTCTTGGGGGTCTCTTGGGGGCCTCTTGGAGGCCTCTTGGGGGCCTCTTGGGGCCTCTTGGGGCCCTCTTTGGGCGCTCTTGGGGCGCTCTTGGGAGCCTTCGAGGCGCTCTTGGGGCCATCTTGGAGGAGATCTATCAAAGAAGGGGGGGTCCCCAATTAGCGCTGCTCCTCTAGAGTGCCTCGAGTCGCCTCTTGGGCCCCCCCAAGAGGCCAAAATCCTTCCAAAACCTAGGTAGAATCAATGTTTCTTGTTTTCTCGCCTTTTCGCTCTTGGACCCGTCTTGGGAGCCTCTTGGGCCTCTTGGGGGTCTCTTGGGGGCCTCTTGGAGGCCTCTTGGGCGCCTCTTGGGGCCTCTTGGGGCGCTCTCGGGGCGCTCTTGGGGCGCTCTTGGGAGCCTTCGGGGCGCTCTTGGGGCCATCTTGGAGGAGATCGATCAGAGAAGAGGGGGTCCCCAATTAGCGTTGCCCCTCTAGAGTGCCTCGAATCGCCTCTTGGGCGCCCCAAGAGGCCAAAATCCTTCCAAAACCTAGGTAAAATCAATGTTTGTTGCTTTCTCGCCTTTTCGCTCTTGGAGCCGTCTTGGGTCATCTTGGACTCTCTTGGGGCCTCTTGGGGGTCTCTTGGCAACGTCTTGGAGGCGTCTTGGGGGCCTCTTGG